TAAAGAAGTTTCAATATTGGAGATACTATCCTGGAAAATGTAGATAATTATCCCTATCTTGGCATTACACTAAAAAAGAATAGTAAATTTACTAAAACCAAACGTATGCTGTTGGGAAAGGCATCAAAAGCAATGTGTTTTTTTGTATTAAGCCAAGGCAGAAAACTTAAACTTTCCATTGATTGTCATTTGAATTTGTTTGATTGTATGGTCACCTTTATTCGTTTATATGGATGTGATGTGTGGGGTTTTGAAAGTACTTCTTGCTTCGAAATAGTTCATCTACGCTTTCTCAAATATTAAGTATCACTCAGGAAAAGTACACCTAACTTTATGGTATATGGTGAGCTTGGTGATTCCCACTTGTAAATGCTATAAAAAGCAGAATAGTATGTTTGGTGGATAAAATTTTAACCGGAAAATAGTCAAAATTATGCTTCTTAATACATAAATTAATATTCAACTATTATATATTTGGCAAATGTGAACATTAATGGATAATATATCTTGAGAGAATTTTCGACAATCTTGGACTGAGGAAAATCCTAAATTTTTAAAAGTATATTTTGGCTTAAAACTGTTATAAAAATAAATGATAAGATATGTATCCGCAAACGTGGATGTAAACAATTGAAACCTCTTCCAACGCAACCACTTATAGCATTTTCAGAAATCCATCTCTCAATTTTGAACCATACCTAAATTTTCTGCATTACAATAACTGGTTAAACTTTCGAACTTCCAGTCATTTTCTTCCAATTGAGGCAGGTAGATGGCAATGAATCCCAGTAAATGATAGAAAGTTTACAATGTCTTACCTAAATGATATTAGTGACGAATTTCATTATTTATTGATATGTCCCATATTAGAATTAGAAAGGGAAAAATATACTCCTCACAAAAAATAAGGCAACAAGTATTTTCAGTGTAATATCTTTATCAATTTCGATAGCGATTTTTGATGACATGTTACTGAAAGGTAAATATTCAAAGAATCCATAACTTTACAAGACTGTCAAATTGATTTATCTGATAACATTGTCAACATCACCCGAACACAACCACCCTCAGAAACAACATGCAAAATGTGTAGCATGAATGTGCTCCACCCTTCACACATGCACCCTGATCGGTGTAAACCTACCTGTAATCATTCCTCTAGCACAACAAGCGGGTCCTAACTTCATTTTTATGGATGGTAAAGCCCGTCCATGGATGATAATGTCCGAGAAAGTGTTGTTAACGATGTTGTTTAGATCAACAACATCACACATATGGTTTAAACATATTTTTAATTTGCCAAAGCAGAAACCTGGATAGGCGATCAAGCCTAGTGGCTTATATAAACGCCGCTCCAGTATATTGTTCTAATAGCTGGATACAATATGAAATAAGCTGACAACAAAAGATAAATACGATAACAGATTTATAATTAAATAACGAGTATGTTCGTTGTGGTGTTGGTTATGCCGCAGAAAATCAAGTTATATAGAATTTGTTTTACACTGAATAGTGAGTGAGTTAATATTTAACGTCACATCCGCAATATTGCAGCCATATCGTGACGAAAACAAGCCATACAATAAAAGTAGAAACATTTTGAAGATTAAAACCTGTCGACCGTGGACAGTACAAAGACTAGAGAATCACAGTTATAAATATAAAACTAGCGCAAAGGTAAAATATTCCAATTAAAGAAGACAATACAATATAAAATACGGGCTATAGATCGCCAACAACCGAAGGTAGATCACCATACTAAGGCCTCTTACACTGAATATATATGTTTAGGTGATAATCACTGGAAGCGGTTACTTTTTGAAATGAACGGGTGTAATGAGTTAAGAATGTCACTATTAGCTGAGTTATTCAATGCCTAGTTTTAACATCGTATCCTTGAATATAAAACATAAATAGTTGTTCTTAAATTTTGATAGTTCCGGCATGTAAAGAGGTAGTGAATAACGTCTTCGTTATAATAACCGCATGATCACCTGAATGTTTCCGATATGTGTCGATTATATCTGTCTGCGTTTAGATCACTACAGCCGAGCTTGAGGCGACAATAAATGATTTGATAAAATCTACACCCAGAATTTAAATCAAAGTAATTGTGAGTTTCTATTGTGTTTATCATGGTTTTAAATTGATTCAGGGAAATCGCACATCACACATATGGACTGGCCTGCAAGCTCACTTTATCTTAATCCCATTGAACATGCTTGGGACATTATTGGAAGTCGTGATTACGGTCTCCGTGTTCACTCCCAGACTCTGAGCGAGGACCTTGAGCAGGCGTTACAGAAAGAATGGCAGAACATTCCACAACAGCAACTTTAAAGGCTCATTTGGTCAATGCAAACACGGATAGAAGCTTGCATTTGTGCTCATGGTGATCATACGCATTACTGAACACTGCTTCACTGTCCAAAAATGACTCGAACCTTAATGTTAACATTTTGCTCCATCAATGCAGCACATTTTGCACGACTGTTTCGCGGGTATATGCTTTTGATGATTTTTAAGTCTATTATTGCTCGTACATATGTTTTATCTTTCTATTGCATGATTCCATGATTTACAATTTCAATAAATAAAAATGCAATGAGACTACAAATTTGTGTTCCTTAACTTTTTGTGAGGAGTATATATTCAGAAGTATTATTATATTAGACCAAATATGTATAAAATGAATATCCTATTTAACACCAATAAGCTAGAAACTTTAAGAAAACTTTCATTTTTTCGTAAAATAACTATGGCTTTATTTAAGAAATAATTTCAATAGCTTAATATGTAACTTGTTCGATGTACATTGCACCTATCATACCGTTTGTATACAGTTTTTATGTTGTATATATTATAATATTATGTACCTCTTATGCTGCAGTTTGCAGCCTGAGTGAATATAGTTCAGTTCAGTTCAGTTCACTTAACTGATTTGACTCACCCATCAGTTAACAAGGGATTAGGCCTTGTTGATTGGTGAGTCCTTGTTAAAGGCTAAAAGATACGGCTTACTGCATGCTAACTAGATCAATTAACTAACAGAGGGTCTAATGTCACTCTTATGAAAAATGTGAAACAAACATCAGTATAATACCAGTTTCATCAACATTGCGATGTTGACCGTGGAACAATATTAAGCGACGTTCAGCTTGATTTTAATGTTTTAATATGCCAGGTTCCTCATTCACACGTCATCGACCAAATTCAATACAATACAACTTTCACCGCCTGTGTTACTCACCCCTTTGACTGATCTCTACAGTGTGTTGCAATAATCACATCGCGACATGTCGAACCAGCCTACAGCAGTCACAAAACAATTTCAAACCGTCTGCTTATCCACTAAACAATGTGCATACTAATTATAGCTAGGAAAATTGTAATGTAACACGCCACACCAAGTCTCTGAAGATATTTTCCCGAAAAAGGTTCCTAAATTATGTTATTTAAATATGATAAAAAGGAGCACAGAGACATTCTTAATTTCCTGAATCTGCAGTAATCTAGACTTGCCACATTCAGTGTATTGACTGTATTTGTTTCAGGATCTGTAGGAAACACTAATGCCACTATAGCAGGACGTACAAACTGCAAATAACCCATACAGAACAATCATTTACCATCACGCACCAGTTATCTCCCCATGCAGATATTTACAAAATTGTATTTTTGTTGTAAATCTCATATTTACAAGTGTGTGATTGTCTTGTAAACATCATCTATACTAACTTCTAAACATCATCTTTACAAGACATTTTCAAGCTTGTAAATGTAAATAGTTTTACAGCACAACGCTGTCAACAATGTTCCCGACAAACATAAAACATATGTGAAAGTTGTATCCCCTGATGGAATGTGTGTGATTACTTACCCTAGCACAGAGCCACTTATCCGTAAAAACCATGCCGTGTACATACAGACTCATTCTTGTTATTTTCCCAATGCTACACAGTGAGCTGAACTGCAAAAAGTGAACCATTTATGTTATGATTATAGACACACATGCATTTCGTATGTGAATATGTAGTTGCAGCACTAAGGTGGCATTACGCCACACTTAACACTGCAATAAAAGATTTAAGTGTAACACAGGGCTCCAAGTGACGCTTACCTTAAAAGTTTCATTTTGTCCCCTTGTCATGCGCCTCACTTCGAGAGGCAGGGACAATTGATGAGTAGCGACTTCTCCAATCACATTAAGACGCACGGTAGAAGTCGTTTCAGCTGCTGGTTCATCTGCAGTCTGCGCGACTACCACATATTGGCTTCGAACAAAAACATCAACCTTCTCCTTGGATGGATCTGGAAAAATGCACTACAACGTAACTGAGACATGATTCGATGACTGCATATAGATGCTGGTACAATCGACACTGGAAGACTAAACAAGAACAAAACGGAGAGCACATGATCAGAATGATGCCCCTGAGAGACGAATGGTTAAAATGATCAAACGAATTTGTTTCAATTTGTTGGTTATTCAACGTTGCACACCTATATGACTGAAGATAAATGAGCGCGGGCCAGACAGTCCAGTGGTGGAACTTAAGAAGGCCATGAATCGTCCATATCAGCGAGCCTGACCATGCGATCCCCTTAGTCGACTCTTACAACAAGCATCGGCTGATACTTCCCTCCCAGATATAACCCTCGTTGATCATACGTGACGATCACCCAATGGTTGATGTGACTGAGAATTCCTTTGTAGTTGTTTTGTCCAATTCCAGGCAAACTCATTTCATCTTGTACGCAATGTCAGTATTCCAGCAATATCACGCTGGTGGATACCAGAAATGGACTTCACACAATGTACCCATGTTGGGATTCGAACCCCGGTCTTGGGTGTGACGAGCGAATGCTTTGACAACGCGTATATCTAGACTACCCCACGCCCTGAGATGATCAAGACACACTGAATAACGTTCACCTCCCATGGCATTCACTCTGACGCGAGAATATAACTCGCTGTGAATTAAGTTGGTCATAAAATATACTCAGGGAAACAAATAAGGGAACAGCACTTCATGGCAGTGTTCCTTTATTCATTCTCAGTTTTTTCCCCCACAGCGCTATACAAAGCTGGTGATGAAGACTGGAAAGTATTAAAGGACCTCTTGAATCTTCCTGTGTTCCCGTATTTGTTTCTCTCAGTATATATTCTGATTTGATCTATCTAACAATCAGGACACAGAAATCGAAATCTCACCTGTACCAAAAAGATATCACCATTTTCGTATGGCTATCGAAGGGAGATTTAAATTACAATCTTCTCCACAAATTTTCGTTTGAAAACCCAGTGTCCGTATTGCAGTAGATTTGTAGAGATAATTCACAGCGCCATTTGAAGGAATAGACTGGGCTTTGATGCCAGGTTCTTTTCCCTCAAGAGCCGGACTTTCAATGGTAGAAGTTATATATGTACAACTTCATGCCCTGACGGTGAATACTGTCAAGCTCACGTAAGTGAGTGAGTGAGTGAGTGAGTGAGTGAGTGAGTTAACGTCACATCGGCAATATTTCAGCCATATCGTGACGAAAACAATTTATACAATAAAAAGTGAAATGAGAACATTTGGCATTGAAATGGAATATATGTACCTTATAAAAACCTGTCGACGAAGGACAGTAAAACAACTAGAATATCACAATTACAACTAAAACTAGTATGGAGAGTTAAAACTGATAGCACTATTTGGACAATACAATATAAAAACAAGCTATAGATCGCCAACACCAGAAGGTAGATCACCATACCCTCACGCAAGTATGATTTACATATCCATAGTCCAACTTAGACATATTAGTAGCTGTCTCTATAGATCTGTAAATCTGAAAGATCTGTTTATGAAGATCCCGCTTGAATTTAGTGTAAGGAAGAAGTATCCATTTTAAGAAACTCAATATAATTTTCTGATTAAAATGTGTATATGTGCAACTTAACTCAATCCCAATAGTGCGCTTGTTACCTCCACGGCCTAACTCACATGCACCATCAATAAATGAAGGACAATCTCTTGATCAAACGTATCTGATGTAGTTGATCCAACGTAACTAATCACTGTCCATCAATGGAGAAATGGTTTCAGGTATAAAGGTAAGTTAATACGGCATATGGGGCACTTGTCCAAGGGGTGTTCAGATCGACGCTCCGGAGAATGGAAATCAGAGATAGTATCTACACAGGTAAGTGATATCAATTATGTTTCAGTAGAATAAATAGGGGTGAATGAATATGGTTGTGCGCCGCTTTGGCACCTCGAATGGGCTCCATGCATTATAGTCAGTGCGTCTGTGAGTGAGTGAATTTAGTTTTACGCCACACTCAGCAATATTCCAGCTATATGGCGGCCGTCTGTAAAGAATCGAGTCTGGACCAGACAATCCAAAGTTCAATAGCATGAGTATTAATCTATGCAATAAGGAACCGATGACATGTGTCAACCAAGTCAGCGAGCCTGACCACCTGATCCCGTTAGTCGCCCCGTACAACAAGCATTGGTTACTTAAGATCAATATTCTAACCCGGACCTTCACGGGTTCAGTACATTCTAGCCATGTGGGGAAACGACCCAAAGTTTGGGAAGTGAGAGCTTTCGATTTTGTAATCGAGACGAGCTGCACATCCTGCATGATTTGTATGACAGTTATCTGCACTTTCGTACGTAAGTCCCAAAACATTTGATCTAAATTAAGTCTACCAGGTTTTTAATCGTAGTATTTTTGTCATTTTAATGTATGGCTAAATCTCAGCTTAAACGACAATGGCTGAAGGGATGGTGTAAATACAGCGAGGGTCCATGCAGGTAGCAAAAGTAATGTAAGTCCCCATGGACCCTAGTATGGTGATCTATCTTCAGTTGTTGGCGATATATAGCCCATTTTTACATTGTATTGTCTAAAGATAGTGTTCTAATTTTAAAGATATTTCGTAGCTAGTTTTAAAACATTTTGTGATATTCTAGTACTTTTACTGTCCTTCGTTGACAGGGTTTTATATATTATATGTATGCATTCTGCATTCAGAACTAGTTTTAGTCACGATATGGCTGAAATATTGCCGATGCGACTTTAATTCGTAACTCACTCACTCACTATTTGCACTTTCAGGGTTAGAACCCATGTTTGTGTTGAGAGAGATCAATGAAATCGAGTGGTCTGGCTTGCTCATTAGGTAGAGTGAGTGAGTGAGTTATTATTTAACGTCACATCGGCCATATTGCAGCAATATCGTTACGAGAACATATTTGATTTTGAAGTGGAATATATGTATATTATAAAAACCTATCGAGGAAGGACAGTAAAACAACTAAAATATCACAATTAGAATTAAAACTAGCGTGGAAAGTTTAAAACTCATTAGGTAGATCCATGTTTGGTGCCGCCGCATTATAGCTTGAACATTGCTGACTATTAAACAACAAAAAACAATTGTTTGCATTCATTAATGTCTGTGTTTACGTTTTAGGCACAACGCTGCCAATTGCAGCGGTGGTCAAATACCCAGAAATACGTTAAAGTATTCCCGTTTCACAGGATGGCTGAATATGAAAAACAGGACATTCCATCTATGTACATCAGGGAAACGTTCACCATGTGTGCAAATATGATATGCCATGAAAGTATTTCATCAAACTATCTATGAAACCACAATACCTTGTGTGTGTACGCGCGCATATGTGTGTACATAGATATTATGAGGTACCTATTGTCACCAGACAGCTGCCATGCTGCAATAGGGCTTAGTGCGGCGTTATCACAAACATTCATTTTCATGTTTGTATTTCGGAGGTGAACATTTAAAGTTAGTGTTGCATGTAAAGGAGGGAGTGACAAACATGTAATTTGAAAATCGTACCGTCAAGTGTTATCCGTGTATTATTACAACGGGTTTGGTTCCACATGAGTACAATGTGCAAAACTCATTTCTCCTAGTCCCTGCAGTAATATTGCCGGAACATTGCTAAACGAAGCGTAAAACTAAACTCACTCGCTCAAAAATAATATAAAGAAGCCTCAAGACCTTGGCTCATCAGGTTATATCTGACCTTCAAGGGACGGGTCAGACCCTGGACAGATACCACCAGAGGTGCGACCAGAAGTTGACTAATAGTTGGCCGAACTTCAGCCCCCAGCTTTAGCATTTTCAATTAATGCCTTCATCACACAAAGTGAAATGGTACATTAACACACTTTGCACATAGCCTGGAAACATCATGTTCCTCTTTGAAAAGATAAAATGACGGACTGTTTTCATATTCATCGTATCAAGGTATGTCATTTCTGTTTTAAGAAAATTGTGAATATTATTATATAGTAACAGGCAATCAATGAATTATCCCCACAGATATATATCATATTGTGTTAGAATATATCCGTTAATTGAAATGATGGTACAAGGTCGTCCCGACATTATTGTGAAAACAACATTTACCTCCGTGAGATGACGAGATGTGATCTGTATAATCTTTCGTAAGTAGTATTTCTCTTTTTTTCTGACACCATTCAGCAGGTGCCCTTTCACTGCAGTCCCCTGAAGCATAACATGTGGTATGGTAGCCAAATTCAGTCTGCAACAAAAACATGTACTCACTATGATAAAATAGGATATGTCTTCTATTAAAAGAGGCACCCGTGAAGAGCCACCTCCTCGTGGTGGGTGCTGGGTAACGCTAAGCGCTCTTCAACCCCCCGGTGTGGACCCAGGGGTATATTTGGTTTACCAACCCGTTTGCCGTGGGTTGCGCCCCAGTGACGGTGGAGGAAGGGATTATGGTGGTTGAGGGCACTGGTTCCAGGAACAGTGTTCTTTGCCCAACATACCACTTCGGCCCTGACTTCACCTAGACGGGTGGTAGAATGGGCCCGGTTCTATCTATCGGCTGGTCATGCCGAGCCCTGAGCACTCTATTTTCATTGCTCTATCACTTTTTGGCTTGTTTTTTGTATACATTGTTTACCTTATTGTGCCTGTATGTTTATTATGATACACTGTTTTTGAATCGTCAGAAACGTATAAATTTGCCTAGATGCTGGTGCCAGAAGGCGATGGCTCATGGGCCAAACTGGTAGGACTTACTACTGGTGTATACCATTCATATATCCCTAGTATATGTGTGTTGGTCATCCACAGGCATTAAGATACTGCTCTTGTTGGCACTCTGTGGCGGGCGGAGAGTATGGATGACGAACCTTTATCAACTATGGCTTTCCAAACCCCAATTAAAAAATCCAACCGTACGCTGGAAATCGATCATGAAAATGATGATGTGAGTCAAAGGACAAAACCAGTGGAGTATTGGCCACGATTCTTGGTGATAGAAACACCTGATAAGACACCAATCAAACTGAACCCTTTTGCAGTTGCAAAGTGTATTTACGGAATAGCGGGTGACGTTAAAAACATCAAACGTCTCAGGACAGGATGTGCAAGGAGACAACAAGCAGCAAACCTGATGTCAATAGAGGAACTTGTTGGAATTTCAGTAACTGGATCTCCTCCTAGATCCTTGAACACAAGCAGAGGCATCATTAGGGATCGTGATAGACTGTTTCAGGACATGACAGAGCTGGACATAGTTTCGGAAATGAGAGACCAAGGAGTAACATTCGTGAAAAGATTCACCAGGCGCCAAAGGACTGAAACGTTCAGAACAAATACTTACTTATTTTCCTTTTCATCTCCATCAGCACCCAAATCAGTTAAAGCAGGATATTGTAACATTAATGTTGAACTATATATTCCAAACCCGTTAAGATGCTTCAAATGCCAGAAATGTGGTCATGGGGCTAATTCCTGCAAAAACAAAATTACTTGTGCACACTGTAGTCAAACTTCCCATTTTACAGAAGATTGTAAAAGTGCCGTTAAAAAGTGTCAGAACTGTTCTGGAGTACATTCCTCATCAAGTAAATCCTGCCCGGTATGGAAAAAAGAAATGGAAGTAAGCAACATAAAATGTACAAAAAACATCTCTTACACTGAAGCAAAGAAGCTCGTGTCAAATTCAGGTTAGACTGAAACCTATGCGTCAGTCACTAAAACACCTCCAGTTTCACCAGTAACAATTCATCGTCAAAGAGATTTGACATGGATAAATTCCATCAATCCTGCACCTCTGTGTCTAACTGATTCTGGCACACAGACCCTTGCTGATTCGTTGCCAGCTGAACTGGCTCCTTAATCGTCATCAACAACTCAACGATCAGGATCACATGATGATTCTGCACCAAACTCACAATCAGGGAAAGAAAAAATGTGTTAACCAGATATAAAACAGACTCTACACGGGTAGAGTATCAAAAGGTTCAAATGATCCCATCAAACTTTATAAAATCACTTGAAGGGATGGATGTTTCAGAAAACATCCCTCGGAGGACAAGGAGTTTGTCGCCTAAACGTAATGGCGAGCGAGATCTCCCGTTAATCCGCCTAAGAGATGATTAGTTCTCAAACTTTGATTCAATGGAATTGCAGAGGACTGACAAATGAACTTTATTGAAATACAACTTCTCATACAAGATCTTCAACCGTCAGCATTTTGTCTTCAAGAGACTTATTTAAAAAAATACAGATACCTTTAACTTGAGACAGTGAACCGATTACCACTCCTTTTCTCCCCCGGGGGATAAAGCTACTGGGGATGCTTCTATTTTGGCTCGGCAGGGTATAATACATAGCTCTGTCCCTCTTGATACCAATCTCCAAAATGTAGCTGTTCGCTTGACCCTGCACATTGCAATAACACTGTGCTGCTTGTATATTCTGCCTTCTTCTAATGTTCGACAATCAGATCTTCAAAATCTGTATGATCAACTTCCGAAAGCATGTGTCATTATGGGCGATCTGAATGGACACAACCCGTTTTGGGGAAGTGTCCACACTAATACTAAAGGTAATATCCTTGATGAATTTATTTCTGATAACAATTTATGTATTTTAAATGATGATTCAGCCACTTATTTGCATCCAGCTACGGGAACATTTTCTTCCCTGGATCTGTCACTCACCGATTCCAACTTATATAATGAATTTGAATGGATGGTCCATGATGACCTATGTGGGAGTGATCACTTCTCCACCATTCTCCGAACAATTAGCCCTGATGATGATCCGCCTTTATCACGAAGGAATTTCGCCAGGGCTGACTGGTTGTTATATAACACACTGCGTACTGATCACTTAAAACATGATGTTTTTGCAAACTGCAAAGATCCTATACATTTATTTTCAGATATACTGAACAGCTTTGCTGACCAATCTATACTGAAGTTCTCTGCAATTCAACATATTCGTAAACCATGGTTTACTAATGACTGTTAACAGAAAAATATTTTCGCCAACATCCTACAGTCCACAATTTAGATACAATTAAAATTTTAAATGCTATGGCTCGACGCACTTTTAAACAAAACAAGTGTCAGTCTTGGAGGAAATATGTTTCCAAAATTAATTTATTTCAAAGGTGTGGAACATGATTCAACGAATAAAGGGCAAAGGTTCCAAATCTACTGTTCCAAATTTATTGACGGATAAAGCTGATATTGCCAATAAGCTTGGTGAAACTCTTGCAAAAAATTCTTCTTCGTCAAATTACGTTCAAAAATACCAGAAACAACAGGAGAAAAAACGACGAAATTTTAACTCCGATCATGGCGAAGACTATAATGAATTATATTCATTACATGAGCTATATACCGCCCTTGAGCAAGCTCATGATACAGCAACAGGGGCTGATGATATTCATTATCAGCTCTAGAAGCATTTGCCCGAATCATGTCTGGAAACGCTGCTAAATATGTTTGATACAATAAGAACCTCAGGGAACTTCCCAACTTTGTGGCGTAATGCCATTTTAGTCCCCATTCCAAAACCTGGCCGGGATCATACTGATCCGTCTAATTACAGACCAATCTCATTAACGAGTTGTGTCTGTAAAACCATGTAACGAATGGTAAATAATAGATTAACTTGGTGATTTTGAAACCAATAACCTTATAACAAATATTCAATGTGGTTTCAGAAATATCGTAGTACCATTGATCATTTGGTACGTTTAGAATCCTTTGTTAAAAATGCTGTAGTAAATAAACAACATGCTTTATAAATTTTTTTGGATCTTGAGAAACCTTATGATACGACCTGGAAGCAGGGCATTTTGAAGGATTGACATGATTTTGGTTTGAGAGGCCGTTTGCCTCTTTTTATATCACAGTTTGTAACCGACAGACAATTTCAAGTCCGAGTGGGTTCTACCCTGTCTGACCATTACAATCAGGAACAGGGTGTCCCACAAGGCAGTATTTTGTCTGTCACTTTATTTAGCATCAAGATCAACAGTTTATCCAAGGTTTTAAACGATTCAATTGATGGATCACTTTTTGTGGATGATTTTAAAAATTTCTTGTCGCGGTAAGAATATGCATACTATTGAACGGCAACTGCATATGTGTTTAAATAAAATAAATAAATGGTGTCTTGAAAACGGCTTTACATTTTCTAAGTCAAAAAGTAATTGTCTACTCTTCTGTAGAAAATATAACTCTCATAAAGACCCGGAACTATCTTTAAATGACACTCCCATCAAAGTTGAAAAGAAGGCCATGTTCTTGGGTCTGATTTTCGATTCCCGTTTAACCTTGTTGCCGCATATTAAATCACTTCAAGCCAAGTGCCTGAAGGCACTCGATTTGTTGAAAGTTGTTTCCAACTCAAAATGGGGAGGGGAAACTACCCTCCTCCACCTCCAAACTACCCTCCTCCATCGTATATGGTGGAGCCTGCAAAAGCAACCTAAAACGACTTGATTCTGTCCACCACCAAGGCCTAAGGCTTTGTCTTGAGTCCTTTAGAACCTCTCCTGTTGACAGTCTCTATGCTGAGGCCGATGAGCCATCCCTTAACCAACGTCGTATAAAATTAGCCTTTGAGTATATAACAAAACTTTATTCTAACGACTCTAATCCTGCATTTAACTGTGTTTTCAATCCTCTATATGATGATTTGTACAACAAAAAGCCTTCTCTTGTTCCGCCTCTTGGTTTAAGAATTAAACCATTTCTTTCTGCTGCCGGCATTGAGCTGGAAAATATATCTCCTTCCCGTCTTCTTTCCTATCCTCCTTGGCAGTTAGTTAGACTAGAAGTTGACCTAATACTGACAACATTTAAAAACTCGGAAACAAATGAATTACAATATAGACAAGAATATAATCAATTAAAAAGTAAATATAGTACATACAAATCCTTATTTACAGATGGGTTCAATGACGGTGGCGCGGTTGCTTGTGCCACTATCATTGGACCCAGAACAATATCTTCTCAATTACCAAATAACAGTCTATTTTCACAGCAGAAGCTCACGCTATATTAACAGCTCTTAGATATATCATTAAACACCGTAAATATAAACAATACATAATCTTTTCCGATTCTCCTTCTTGCCTTCAGGCCATTAAAAACCTTTCTTGTAAACATCCACTTTTAATAGAAATTATTGAATTGTATAATGAACTTGCTACTGGCCAATGCGACATCGTCTTTTGTTGGTTACCCAGCCATGTTGGCATTCTTGGAACACAATGGCTGATCTTGCTGCTAAGGCAGCACTCACCAAGTCTGTGACACCACTTCTTATCCCATACTCTGATTACAAAGCTAGCATTAGAACCTACATCCGTGATCTGATGCAAAAGAAGTGGGACACCCAAGTAGGTAGCAATAAATAACATGCAATAAAAACCTTATATTGGTTACACCTACTTGGGTAGTCAGTCCAGATTTGAAGAGGTCATTATGCGACGATGTCGCGTTGGCCATACTAGATATACTCACGAATATTTATTGAAAGGCGAAGATCCTCCGTTTTGTATCCCTTGTGATGAAAGGATCACAGTATAGCATGTCTTGCTTGACTGCATTGAATATTCCATCACAAGGGATAACTATTTCAAAGTAAAAACTCTGAAGGATCTTTTTAATGATGTCAGTTCTCATTTAATTATTGCATTTTTAAAAGAATTAGATTTGTTAAATTGTATTTAAAACGTGGTAGTATAGTAACTGTGATTGTTAGTGTCTGTATCCTCGAAGGGGTTGAAGTATCGTAAAAATCATTGCACTCCTCAGAGGATACGTAAGTCCCAAAGCTTTCAAAGTTAAATTTATGCTTACCGGATTTTTAAACGTAGTATATTTGTTCTTTTAAACTTCGGCTAAACTCTTCCTTCAATCGCCAGCGGCTGAAGGGATGGTGTAAATCCAACTAGGGTCCATGCAGGTAGCTGTAAGTCCCCATGATCCCTAGTATGGTGATCTACCTTCAGTTGTTGGCGATCTATAGCCTATTTTTATCTTGTGTTGTCCCCTATAGTTAAAACGTTTTAGATTTAATTACTAGTTTTACATACATATCTGTGATATTCTAGTTGTTTTACTGTCCTTCGTCGGAAGCTTTTTATAATATACATATGTTTCATTTCAATATCAAATGTTCTGGTCACGATATGGCTAAAATATTGCCGATGCGACGTTAAATATGATCTCACTCACTCACTCTATTAAAAGAGCCTGTTTTTTTCGGAACACTGACCTTTTCTGTCAGCTCTAAAGCAAATTACAAACATTACAAAGTTTCGGGGCATAAAGAGATCATAAACAGAGACGGACAGATTGACTGAAATCACAGGGATGGGACTCCCAGGGTTATCCCTCTTGAATAATGTATCAACACATCAACGTTAAACTCATCACCAAGTCATAGTGGCCAATCCGTAAATATAAATTGACTTTCTGCTTCGTCCTGATTGTCTGATCTCTTTCGAAACAATTGAAAGAAGGACGTAGAAGCTTTAAAAGAGGTGATTTGATACAAAAATGTATCAAACGTGTGAAACCCCTCTCCACTTGCAGATTTCACCCTTCTGTTATATGCATTATAACACAGGGTACCTGAAACAATTGAAAAAAGAGGAAAGCCTTGGGCAGCATTTGGGAAAGGTCCTCCACCCTCCACGTTTCTGTCAAAACGCTTGACTGCCTTAACCTTCATCAAACAGTATTTCAGAGACAGCCTTTGGATTATCTTTGAAATCTTTCTAAAAACAGATAGCTCGTCGCCACACCCACGATTCGTAGACACGGGCCACTCTTGCGCTGGTATCAGAGAGATCTTGAAGAGACTGGGGTATTGTATCATAAAAGCTACAGAAGTCAAGCTACTAAACGTCATGCTGATGAACCTACTCCGTTCTGTAGTCAAGAGATAGAGCAATTAGGGTAACTAAAATACCGGTAGAAGAAATGCCATAATACCAGAATAAGTATGGATTCATGAAAGGAACGATCCACCAGAAAATGAAAGAAAGCATGTGCTTTTAATTCTTGATTTAGATCTGCATATTGAATAATGTGTGGAGGTTATGGTTTCTCACAAACTGTCTTAGTCCAAACATGTTTGGGAAACTACTCTGGAGGATGTCAAATTGACCAAGTTATCCACAATTACAGGGGACATGGTATACTGATCCTGGAAGTGATTTGGTTAGTGCTTCTTCTCTTGAAAACTACATCTGTGTTGGGCTGGTTCTTTAACAACCTCTAGAAATTGTGACTGAAGGTTCCATATGAGGGGAGGCACTTACATCTAAATATTACAGCTAAGGTGACCTCAACCAATACCTTCAGCGTGATACCAACTACCCTTTACCACAATAACATAAACAAACTTATAGTGATCAGAGGTGACCTTTATCCAATGACACCAGTAGCCAACATCAACCCAGTAATGACTAGAGATTTGGCGAAATACAAAGTTATAGTTTGATATCTTTAATTAATTGATAAGTATTTCAAAATATTACATCCCTTCAACGCGGGTAAGAATTCCCACATTCCATTTCAGATGTGGGTAATGGCTTCTTTGTTTACACGAAAGAAGCAATGTAAAGTTTGAAACAGAGATACAAGATTAGTAAATGATGTGTACTTAGCTTAAATTCCGTACTTGTTTTAGTCACGATATGGATGAAACAGTACAACTTAAAATCTTAACGCACTCACTCACTCACAAGACTTCCTGTTTTGTCACCCACGGGACACATCTGGGATGAAATGGTTTAACGTGTATATCATGATAACAAACCCCTCCTTCCCCACACACACACACACACACACACACACACACACACACACACACACACACACACACACACACACACACACACAACAACAAAAACAAAACACAAAACAAAATTCGATGCAGAACATTTACCACATACACACTTTGCGTCTAAGTATAGATTGATTGGCATATTCAACAGGTACTGTCTCTATGTACTGCCTGACCATATGACGCAAAACAACAATATTGTTTTTCTGACGATTTCTCTGTTGCAATGGAACACATAAAACAAAGCAGATCCTCATAATGTGTCTAAGAGCTTACATCGCACATTTATCACTCTAAATTGTGTGTACCAACGTCAGTTGACAACTGCAAAAGTAGGTTGGACATAGGCCACAACATTTATGTTCCTCTCATACCATATTGCTTTGGATGACATTATTTAAAACAAAATTGATAACATTTGTAGGGTGCACCACATTTTAAGAATTTCAGGCAAGAATCAGAAGTAGAAAGGTAAGTAAAACTTCTGCAAGTTTGCAGTTCTTCTGGTGCGAAAATAATAAAATTGTTAATTCATATAAACAGGTTTAGGAAAAGCGATGTATCCTTATCGTGTCTGTTATTCTGTCTTTATCACTGTTAAAACATGTTACAGAAGTATTAGATATTCTATTTTCATCTTAATCAACACATTTATGTTTTCTCCAACGTTGGCGATGACATAAAACAAGCATTGGTGTCAAATATCTAATTATTTATTTACATTTGACCTTAAGTCTGATACGCATGTAGTAACAGTCAATGGTTTGTGTACAAAATGAGGCAAATGTGTGAGTCTTAAGACTCATGTATATTTTAGATAAGGCCTATTCTTTCGCTAGTACTTCATTTTCAATAAAACACAGTTTCATTATTTCTCATAATGTGTGACAATACCCAAAAGAAATCGATTTAAATGCGGATAGTTGTCTTTCAACAGTTATTATGTCTTGCGCATCGAACTGAATTGAAACACATTATTGTTATCCACAGCAGATTTCCTTCATGTCACCTCAGTTACAATGGATATGTATACGCTTTATTTGTAGCCGAGTTAAGTCCCTATTTGCCACAGGTTTATGCCGTTCTTACCTTATGCAGATTGTTGTTGAACCGTACAACGTTTGTAAGTATATTTGGCATCCACTGTCTTGGAGCTGTTAGCTGTCTCAGGTAATAGAGAGTCTATATACGGAGACTAATAAACCCGTCCCTCCCTGACTGCAGTATATCACCAAATTATGTTCAGAACAGTCAAATCCAGCATTCAGTTGTGTTTTCAACCCTCTCTATGCAGACCTGTTTCCTGATCTGCCAAGCCTTGTTCCACCATTTGGAATCAGATTTCAACCACACATAACAGCAGCTTGATCTCAATATCATATCATCTTACCGACTTCTGTTTTCCCCACCCTGGTAGATGGTGAAGCGAGAGGTTGATCATACCTTCACCACACTCAAAGCATGTATTGCTTGACTATTAATATTTCCTCACAAGGGATATATATATACTAGCCACATAAAGAAACTGTGCACACAGAAAATGCCTTCAGAATTGGAATACAACACAGCAAAGACGAAATGATGTAGACACTTTATACGCTGAAGTATCGGACCACAAGAAATTGTCAAAAGAACATGGACAATATCTGTAACGATGACGTCAGAAGTTCAAAATCGAGTAGGGGGTCACACGACGAAGTCACAAAGTCAATAACGGGTATGACCACCATGTGCGTGAAGCACAGCAGTGCATCGACGACGCATAGAGGCTAGCAAATGAGCATTGAAGGCCTGGGGAATGGTCTGGGACGTGGTCACTGCTGTCTGGAACCTGTATCTGAGATGAGTCACCCGAATCCACCTGTCCTGTCTTGGCGTCGTTACGTCGGGAACGCCCAGAACGTGGGTGGTCGGCGACGTCATTACTGTTTCGATAACGCCTGGCCCATGCAGATATCGTGTTACGATGACATTGGAAATGTGCTGCCACCTGTTGTTGGCTCATTCCTGCTCGAACCATTCCAATGGCTTCATGACGTTGAGCAGATGTTAATCTTGGCATGATGTGCATGCGACTTCTCATGTGGATTTGTGAACGTTTGAATGACCAAAGATCAAGCTTTCGACAGTGACAGCAATTTCAGAGTTTCACATGTTGTGTGCAGCTGTACGGGCTGCACGTGCAGTAACATACTGCAAGGCCATAGGCCACCGTCAATGACGTCACGTCGCCTGGCACGTGCATGAGCGTTTGATTGTCTCCAATACTTGCTATGTTCACAAATGTATTTATATATAAATACGCTGTGTGCCTATATTTATATTTTCTGTGTGCACAGTTTCTTTATGTGGCCAGTATATTTCAAATTATTATATTGTAAAGTGTGTGTGAGTGTGAGTTTAGTTTTACGCCGCACTTAGCAATATTCCAGCAATATGGCGGCGGTCTGTCAATAATCGAGTCTGGACCAGACAATCTGGTGATCAACAGCATGAACATCGATCTACGCAACTGGGATATGATGACATGTGTCAACCAAGTCAGCGAGCCTGACCCAATCGATCCCGTCAGTCGCCCCTTACGACAAGCATGGGGAAGTGAAGACCAATTCTAACCCGGATCTTTACGTGTGGCTTTTTTAAAGCAGTTGACCTTATTGGTAAAGTTTGATGTACATAGTTATTTCTTATTAATTGATCGTGTACATGTATATAACAATTAACTGAGATTGTTTGTTGCTTTGCCCTTGACGGGGATTGAAGTTCTGTACCATTACTGTCCCCTCGAGAAAGGATATGTAAGAACATTTTTTCAAGGAATGCTATTCCTAAAACAGTTTTAATCGCAGTATCTTTGAACGTTTGAGTATAATCGCCAACAGCTAGAGGGATAGCCAGCTGGAGAGTAAGATGGCCTAACCCTGGTTGCTGGGTATCTATACACCGATTGTATAGTGTGTGTTTTTTGTTTGTTATTTTTTTTTTTTAAAGTAAATACAGGTATTGCATAGTGTTGTTGACTGATAATTTAGCATTTTATGAGCTCAGACTTGTTTTTAGACTAGTATATTTATTATATACTGACAGCCATTAAAAACGCAATTGGTATTTGTTGTTCTGAAACTTACAAATGTTCTATTGAAGATTTTTTCCTGCGATACAGAGGATGTAGGGATAAAAGGCTGTTATTCTGGCCCATTTCGAGTTCGAGTCCCGGAGCATTCCTCTCACATGAACTTTGATACTTAAAACTGAACCTTTGACATTTCTCGTAAACACAACCACATTCATGAAACACGTTGTGCACATGCATTACCTGCACCCAGGCCCTGTAAAAGCACAAGGAATTGTGGAACTCAATCACTTTGAGAAAATGCCACACTTGACACAAGACGAAAGGAATCAGGTTATCGGTATGGTCAGCCAAGGTGCTTCAGATGTGATGATTGCCAGGCACTTTAATGTGCATCCAGACAACGTTTTCGGGCTACCGGAAGTGTTGCTGATCGTCCGCGACCTGGTGCACCACCTGTGATAACAGCTCGACAAAACCGCAATATCCGAGTTTAACACTTGCGAAATCGGTTCGAAACAAGGATTAGGCAAAGTGGACAATTGGGACAAGTCAACGTCATGTCAGAGCCCAAAAGGTGCAATGACGCCTTGCTGCCTTCAACATCCAGTGTCGTCACCCGTACCGTGGTCCAACCTTATTGCATCGCCACAGACTTGCCAGACAGCGATGGGCAGCAAATGGGGCCAATCTTAGCAACAGGACATGGCCAGATGTCATTTTTTCAGATGAATCCAGGTTTAACTTATTCTTTGCAGATGGACGTCAACAGATTTATCGACGGAAAGGAGAAAGACTTGCGCCAAACTGTGTCCTTGAACATGATCGTTTTGGAGGGGGTGGTGTCATGATCAGACCACAGACCATCATAGGCTGCAGACCATCCAACAGCTGTTCCTGAGAAATGTGTGTCTTTCAATGCCCCAAAGACTGCGAGCATGTCTTGCAGCGCGCGGTGGACACACACGATATTGACTGCAAGTGACCCCTCCTTTGTGTGATGTCGTTGTTGCGTCACTGATGTTTGTTGCTGACTGGACATTTTCAGATGAAATTATTCACAGATGTTCACTTAAAACATATCTGCCAGTTAGGTTTATATATGTTGAAATAAGTGTGAGTAAAGGAAGTATGAATGTCAAATTGCATTTTTAATGGCTTTCAGTATATATTTGATAAAACGATGAAAATCATTTCCCTGTCTAGAACAATGAAACCTTGTTGGCCGGATTTTGTTGCTTGCAGCGATATTAATGTGTTGATTTATAAAGAAACTTGAAACATTTATTCTTCAATTTCCCTAAACTATCGACAGACAACAGTGTACCTGTAGATCCACTTTGAACAAAAAGAAAATCACATTGTAAAATGAATTATATTGAAAATGGGCAGTACAAGTTAGTTAAAACTGCGCACGTCACGCCGAAGACCCGGGTTCGATTTCCTACCAACGATATTCAGCATAAGACAAAGCTAAGGAAGGATGACAATTTATGGATGTGCAACTTGTTTATTACAGTGTGACCGACGTTTCGGTGAGTTTCCAACACCGTTATCCAGCAATGCATGCTTCACAAAGAAATGCTTGGCACAACTTACATCGAAACGTCGCTCTCACTGTAATAAAGAACTTGTTCATCCATGAATTGTTACCCTTCCTTATTCCTTCAACATCTAAATGCCTCTCGAAGAAGATGAGACTGTTGCCATGGAACTCTGCAGATATGGTCTATAACATCTCCAAACTATCAAAACACATCTGAAAACCACAAGACATATCTATTGCCTGATTGTGTGACGAAATATGTACATTGTTGAAGATCTGCTGTGGAAACGAGCACTTCTGCCATATCTTGTCAAAGCTATGGAAAACTTTGGGTTCATCATTTCGCCGAGAGACGTCTTCTGGAAATAATATATCTAATTTTCTATAGTTTAACAGTTTGGTACTCCACAATTTATATAAACAGGCATGACCTGCCGGCCCACAACCAGTAGAGTTAAATTACATTTGTGACGTCATTCCATTGTCTGTTCGCTCCATTACTTTTCAGGAATGGAGCGATGTGTACCAGTTTCAAAATAAACCTTCATTTTGTCATTTTGACATTTAATTTTGATAACGGAAATATTCCCAATACTTCGAATGTAATTTAAGTAGGGTAATATCCTCGTAACTCTCCATTCCTTAAAAATAATGTGCCTCGGGCCCTCCTGGGCCTCGGCTCCATTATTTTTTAAGGAATGGAGAGTTACTCGGACATTACCCTCTACTTAATGTGGAGTATAGGGCAAATATATGCTATTGCTCGAACTGGTGCCACAGACACAAGTATGCAGCCTGTATAGTGTGTTAAGCCTATTTCTCGTGTCCTTGTCTTGATAATGCCGGAATATTGTTATTTATTGAAAAATATTGAAAAACCATACTCATCCACTTAATTGAATTGTGATTTCTCTTTGCAGTCATGGATATAATGCATTTCCCCCCTGTCGCATAAATGCTGGACTAAATAAACAACTACATAAATTGGAACTTTATAAACCAAGGATGATGTCATAACATACCACATTTCAGTCGGTACTTCTCATACTGCTGCTGGCGCCTGGGGTCACAGGCTATCTCAGTCTTCCCGTCAAAGAAGACCAGACGTTGAGACTTGAAATAACTTGCACATTGCGCGAAACATTTCAGTCTTGAAAACGCTGACACCTCAATGAAGTTAATGTTTTGAATTGTACTTGCATTAACACTGCTGCCAAAGTACGATCGGATGTGTCCAATTGCTTCTCCATGAAAATGAATTATGAACATCACAAGAACTGAACATACAGAGTCCATTGGCAACATGTTCAGACGATCAAGTGAACAACTGCTATGCCTCTGCGTGGTGTAAGCAGTGCAGCTCTATTCAGTAGATGATGATGTAGATGCATTACTTCGCCACACCCTTCATATACAGCCAATTCCTGTGAAGTGTCAATATTGATTTGACGATTGCTGGTTGTATCCGTACAGTGTTTCATAGTTGATGCGGCGCGTGTTTGGTTCTGATTAGTCTGAAATTATCATAACAATGCCTCGTGTGTTTAAATTGTCTAGAGCCGGGAATGGGTGGATCTTCTTCTATCAATAGAAAGGAACGTGTACTATAACTATTGTGTATCCGACAATGATGTATTGCAATTTAAGCATGCTGGGCTTTTCTTGTAAATGCA